CACCACCACCACCACCACCACCACCACCACCACCACCACCACCACCACTTCCCCTCCAGACACACGTCATGATGCCAGATATGTAATTCCGTTCCCAAACGAAAAAGCAATCCCTGGCTAAGCCTATAGGAGCTTCATGAACGCGTTCCAACACAATAATGCCCTTCAGCACCTTCGGCGCGTTTGGATTTTCGAGCAAAGTTCAATGAGTTCTGGCTGTCTTGGTTGTTTCTTGATGAACGGGTTGTTGGTCCCAAGTACATTTTTAATTCATCAGCAAGTGGGCCTCGGTGCTCTTTCTCTTTGAGGGGATGGTAGGTCGGAAAACACTTAATTAGTTGATGCGCCAAGCGGCTCCCTTTTCCCCTCTTAGTCTTCTCATTTTTCAAGACATTGCAATCCTCATGCTCTTTAACCAAGAGTCTACATTACTTGATTGGACCACCTTCATGCATCCATTCGGACTCGCAGAGTTGCTTCCTGGTACTCCCCTTCTCTCTTTCTATCTCTGAATCCGTTCTGTGAAAAGCTCAAACTTTTTGCCCGAGGCTTGTCTTATGTGCAGACAAACAACATTGGTGAGGTTTGGTGGCTGTGAGCTCGTAGATAAAAAACGGCTTAGGGGTTGAACTGCACCGTTTTTTTCCCTTTCTTCTCCTCTTTTTGACTGGCACAAGGAGGAAGGAACATCATGTTCCCCGGAAACATAGGCTGACTTGTCGCAACAAACATGGCCGAGTCCCTGTTTTTGGGAAGAACTTGGGAAAAAAATCCACCAGAGCAGCCATGCGTCGAGAAACTTCCGTGGGCAGTTCTTTCTTTTGCTCGTCCAGGTCTTGCCGGTGAATGCCAAGAGGAAAGATGGGAAGAATGACGTGTTCTACAACCCAGCTCAGGTTGGATGCTTGGTCTGTTTTCTTCTGAAGGGTTGCAGGCCGCCTTGAAGACCGATTCTCAGAAGATGGATGTGTGTGTCGATTGGGTCCAACGCTGAGTCCACCCCAAACAATTGACTCTTCAGGCACCCATTTTCGCATGGTTTCGCGTCCTGTGGACGGAGCTGTGAGTCATGTGGACGGGCTACCCATGACTTTGAGTCATGTGGCCATGTGACACATGACGAGAGCCCTGGGAGTCAAAGACTATAAAAAGAATGGTCTGACCAGGGGCACCCGAAAGGGAACTTCCTGAACACTTCAGCCAGTCAAAATATAGTCGAACTGGACTTCTAGGGAGAGTGATGGCAGAACCATCGGATTTTGGGAAACGAAGGGACCACGATGGACGAAGGACGTGACAGGGACGATGATCTACGCGCCGAAACCTGACAGCGACCAACCCGGAGCTGCGTGGAGCAGGGCTGGAAAGCTTCCCCCAATTCGTCAGAAGGGGAGACCTTAGATCTGCGGAGAGCGGGAGCCGGACCAGGTCTTCAACCGAGATCTCAGCGTCTTGGTGCTGTCGGTCTTCGCCAAAGTGCGTCACCCGGACGCGATGGCGTGGGAAACCCCGCGGGAGGACTCCGCGTATTCGGTCGCCGCGAGGGCGTTACGCTCAGCTCGGTCCGAGTGGCTCGGGTGAAACATCTGCGTTTCGACCGCCCAGCGAGGCCGAAGGGCAAATACACACCCATCTGAACATCTGAAAGAGTCCATAGTTGGGTGGTGAAGCACACCGAAAGTGGGATCAACCATTCTTCTGCGCAGCGGTGTCACTCCGAATGAAGTTGGAGAATGCAGTTCCCCAAGTTCATCTCGTGTCCTAACCATTTGGGATGGGACATCTCCATTCGACCATACCACCCGAACGCCCGCGCGCCGCGCGCACCGCGGTCCCAGGTGAGGAGGAGTTTGCGGAGAAGGACCGCCTGCGCCTGGAACGCTTCCGGGCCAAGGTGAAGGTGCCGGAGGTCGTCCAGGCGGAAGGAGGGATCCTTTGGGGGATTGGACTCTAGAGACCCTAGTAGCGTCCAGATCGCTCCTAGTAGTAAGGCCAGGAGCCTGGTTCGTAGCGTCCTCTAAAGTCATAAACTGTTCCTTGTAGATCCAATTGATCATCGCAGTTCTTTTGTAGTTCCACGTTCATCTCATCTGCCATGGATTAGTTCCGTGGCATAAACCATTCCTTGTCTTTTTGGGAGAAGAGAGCCCAAATCGGTCGATGGATCGGTAAACATAGGCAGTGCTAGTGGAGGCTTAGAGGGAGGTCATACCTGGTCATACCAAGGCCAGTGGAAACCACCCCAAAGAGACGAGTATATCCATGACCAAGTAAATGTTCTTCATCAATATTATATATTGACCAATAACATGTTGCAATACCATGCAATAACATCAAATTCCCACGAAGGAACCCGAGCACGCCGACATGCACGGACGTGCACGGACATGTTGGCAAGAATAGACCGACCATGTGACTCCTACCGCCACCGCCGCCACAGCGCCCCTTGGAAGAGTCCGGGCACCGATGCCCTATTGAAGTGAGAAAAGACAGAGATTCGAGGTAAATCTCAACAGGAAACCCTGGATGTCAGATCCCGGGATCCCAGCTTTGGGGGGACATGCATGAAGCAAAAAGCAGTCACCAAAGCAGTATCACACATGCGCCTCCGACATAGCGAGGCTGGAGTATCGGCTGTTCACCTCTCCAACGAAGTTCTTCGCCGGAAAGCCCCCGCAGGGTGAGCAAGCGGATGAGCGAGAGAATGAGGCGTGTAAGGCTGGAGGGTCAAACGACAACACCCACCCATGGGCGTCGGCCGTATGTGGCATTTTTGAAGGCAAGCTCCTGGAGATACTCCCTTTCCGTTGTGGCATGTGGTACTGTATTGCAGCATGTAGTATTGAGTGTTTTCCGGCTGTTTTTCCATGGTTCTGCTACCAGCTGATGCCAAGTACAGAAGTGATAAGACATCTCTGAATGTAGTTTGCAATCTCGATTCAACCCTTTGTTCTTCCCCACTAGGTTCTGGCCGAGCCATAAGCTTCAGGAGTTGCCAAAGGAGGGTGATCAACCGCCGAGCAGCCTCCTTGGCCAGGAGGCGTTTCTTTGTTTGCCAGGGATGTCACGTCATGTTTTGTGGATTTGGAGTTGGGAGAGAACTCTCTGAAGGTGTAGAAGACAAAAAGAGACCTCAAACATGAGATGCTGGTGGGTTTCGACCTTTCTTTAAAGAAGGGACCTCCGCAAAATGATGTATTGTGAAGTTCCAGATGGATGGATAAGTTTTTGCGCTGGTTTAAGCATTCTTGTGCCTGAACTAAAGACCTTTGACACCCTGACGACTTCTGCTTAGAGTTCTGGTTTCACAACTTTGATACAACTAGAGACTGGCTCATCCAATATTCCTCAATGGCTGTGTTTTTTGCGTTCAAGTCATGGACTGCAGCTGCCCACCTCCAAAGTTTAAGCCCACTGATGGTAGCAAACCCATTGTTTCGTCGTCCAACTGAATAAAGCAGATACCGTACTACACCGTGTTAAAACATCTCTGAATGTAGCTTCTCGATTCAACACTTTGTGCTTCCCCACCAGCGCTAGAGTCAAAAGGGTGTTCTGGCCAACAACCAGAGCCACAAGCTTCTCAGGAGGTGCCAAATGAGGGTGATCAGCCTGGGCTGAGAAGCAAGGAGGCGTTGTTTGCCGCCAGGGATGTAACGTCATGCTTTTCCCTCAAACCGCGTGGACACACTAGGGGTTCTTATGGTAGCAGTGAAGGCGGGGCTTGGTTGAGGGTGCTCACCGGCGTGTGCGGCTAGTTTGCTGCTATTTACTGCGCATTCATGCCTCTCGAAATCTTCGATTCGCAGGCTCACACAAACTTAGCACCCTGACAGGGTGCTTTCCTCGACTGTGCTCTCGTTGTGTTGCCGTGCTAGGGTGCTGTGCTGTGCGCAGCTCGCTCGCTCGCTCGCTCTCTCTCTCTCTTTGTGTTTGTAACCCTCGGAGTCACAGGGAACCTTTTGACCTTTTATGCAGGGTAGCAGGGAGTCCACAGTTCTGCTGCCAATGAAGAAAGCTGCGGATACTCTGTGAAGCGGATTGGGACACCAACCTGCAGTTTGAAGGCTGTCTCCTACGTTGTTATGCAGTAGTAACCTGATGCGCTTGTGTGCGCTCCGTCGTTCGATCTCCCGCAATGGAGCGAATCGTTGAAGCCTGGGAACCTGGGAGTCTTTCCAGGAGTCTCTCCGACATTTTTTCGGCCAAGTGGCACTCAGACCGAACGAACCCTCCGTGGCCCTGTTAAGCAGGGTCTTGTAAGCACATTTCCTTACCAACTAGGTTTATGTGCCTTGTTTTCAACGAGGTCTGGCTCGCAGCATTTTCCCTTTTCACTTGGTTTTCCTGTCGTCGCAACTTGACATACATTGGGCCCTTTCATGTCCTTCCCTTCACGTTTGTTCATCCGCTTTTGTCTACGCGCAAATGCTTTCGCTCTCATATGTTTGCTCTCATGTGTCCGGTGCGGAGGTTCGCTCATTCGCCCTTCTTTTGTTCTGTCTAGCACTGTTTGGGGCCTCTTGCCGGGATAATGTGGATTTGGAGTTGGGCGATAACTCACTGAAGGTGTAGAAGACGAAGTGTGACCTCAAACGCGGGATTCCGGTGGGTTTCGATGTTTTCTTGAAAGAAGGGCGGTCCGCAAGATGATGTATTGAGAATTTCCGAATGGATGGATAAACTTTGGTGCTGGTTTGCGTATTCTTGGGTTTGAACTAAAGACCATTGAAACCCTGACGTCTTCTGTTTAGAGTTCTGGCTTCACAACTTTGATACAACTGGAGACGGGCTCTTCCAATATTCACCAATGGCAGTGTTTCTTTTCGTTGAAAGTCATGGACTGCAGCTGCCCACCTCCAAAATGTTAAGTCCGTAGCAAACCCATTGTTTCGTCGTCCAACTGAATAAAGCAGATACTACATAGTGTTAAGACACATGAATGTAGCTTCTCAATTCAGCACTTTATGCTTTCCCACCAGAGTCAAAAGAGTGTTCTGGCCAACAACCAGAGCTACGAGCTTCTCAGGAGGTGCCAAATGAGGGTGATCAGCCTGGGCCGAGCAGCAAGGAGGCGTGCTGCTTTCAGGGGATGCCACATGCCGCAAAGACCGAAGGTGTAGACAGATGGTCATTGGCAAAACAGCAGCATGGTCATCAGTTCTTCAGCATGGTCGCACCTTTGGAAGTAGAACATGTCCAAACGACGTTAATAAGAGGTTTTGGCCTTCTCTGATAGGATGTGTTTTGAACATCAACACGACTACGCCTTCACTTTCAGCCTTGCTTGGATGTGTGGATTTGAGGTTGGGGAGCGATTGATACGGGCACGTTATCAAAAATTGTGCGCAAGTAATAGGCTGAATTGACAAGACAAATAGTTCCTGTCAGCCTGGCTTTCGATAGCGTTGGATTTCGCAAGGCAAGGCTGATTAGGTTTCTGTAATAAAATGGCAAAGACATGATACTTCAGCTTTGATTTTCTCTATCCTGAACAATAGCCTCATTGCCTCAGTGTCAGTATCAGTGATTGAAGGGATGTAAGATCCATTTTCGTCCTCTCATTTGTTTGGCATGCCATGCTCACATGTCATGCGAAAACGAACGAATCAGGATCCCGGAGTGTAGCCATGTCCATCGGGTCCGGTAGAGGACGAGAAGTCGATCGTGGCGCAAGCCATCCCACTGACTGTGCTTTGGATGACCCGAACACCTCAATTATGTTTAGGGGCTGGAACCACCACTTCTATAAATAGCTCCTAAATGGACCGCTTCTGGCTGCCGCAACCTCTTCGGGCCCCGACCCCTTTGGGCCGTTCCCATGTTTTCGGCGACAGATGCGCCAGCTGCAGCTGCCCACGCCCTCAGGGCTGAAAGTGCTAGAGGCACTGGCTGCCACAGGCCGTCCTCGAGTCGCGTCTCCTCGCGTCAGCCCGGTCGTCATCGCACACGCCCGGTTTCCGGGCAAAACGGGTGGAGGCCGGCCCCCCGGCAGAAGGGTTGAATCGAAAACGGTGGCCGAAACGGTGTAAGCTTTTTGGTCGCGGCTTTCAAAGCGAAGATTGCCACGATGGCTGTTGGCCAAAGCCTTTTTGGTGGGTCACCATGGACGACTTGGTTCGTGTCAGAAAAAATGGCCAATTCAACGGCAGTGCCACGCTTCGGTGCAACAAGTGTCTACAAATTGGTGAGACATGGGCTTGGGATTGCTTGAGAAGAATACAGTAGGTCAGTTATACATAGTTATACCACTTATCCTGGTATCAACAACAACGGATTATGACTGGTTATACCAGTGATTCCGTCAGTTCTACCAATTCAACCACTTCGGGGACCCATGAATTCGCTGCAGTGGAGTCAGCACGGCGAGATGACCATGGCGACATTGGAGTTGTACCCTCTGAGAGACCCTTCTCGAGATGCACCTGATAAGCTTTCAGGGCCTTGCAGGTAGAGTTGGCTGGATACTAGATATGAACCTCATTTACACCCTAAAACTGCCTCATATCGTCGGGTGTTTCGCTAGATCCTGCCTCATATCGTCGCTAGGCAGCACCATTTGATGGAAGCATTTTGGAACCTCTCTTGGGGACCTACAGAGGTAGCCAGTGACCTGAACGTTCGGACCCGTCACCAGGGGTACCGAACTAGGATAGATCGAACGTTCGGGTTCTGACCCACCTCTGCTGGGAGGTTCAAAACCTCCACTTCGCAGATCACAATGCCCAACTGCTTCGGACGGAGCCCGCCAGTCCCGAGGCATCCGCACCGTGCGCTATGCGAAGGACCCGCGGAACCAGTCGGTCGAACGGTGGTTCGGCCGTGGGGTTCATAGCACCGGGTCTGGAGGATTGGGCCAATAAGTAAGCTCGCAGCAAGCTCTATCAAGAATCGCAACTCCAAACATGAAGCGGTTTGTCTTTTGGGGGTGTTTGTGATGAATCAAGTGTTATTGAATCAATCGCATGTCTTTCCAACATCATCTGCATCAGGGGCCCTTACGAAGGGTTCCTTAATCAGAACCAGTGGTTCCAGCACCTCCAAGTGGCAAACCCACTTCCAAATTTGACCACCAAAGTAAGTGAGGGCCCACGAAAAGTAAAGGACCACCTCACTGACCTGGAACCCAGACATGACCTTTGTTTTGATAGGAAGTTGGACCCTCTTTGGGGTGGTTGGTGGTCAGGTTGCAGGTACGCCCAGGGCGCAGAGCCCCGGAAAACCTCGGGTTTAGGCGCCCGCCCCTGTGCGGCCCTCGGCGTCGAAGGAGTTGCCCTTCGGGCCCGGGGGGATCGCCAGCATCGTGGCCAACGACTTGGATCCCAACGCCGTGGTGCGCCCCAACACCGGGGAGAAAACAAACGAAACGGAAGGGAAGAGCTACGGAAGGAGGAAGTGACACCGTGGCTTTTGCCATCGGTTTTTCAAGTTGGACTTTTTTGGAAGCCAGAGAACGAGGTGGATTGAGGTGGAGAGATTTCTGACCGAAGATTCTGACCTCAGAAAAAACACTCGAAGAAGAAAGCCCTCACCCCTATAGCTTTTGGCCCCTGCCATCGTCCTCCTTCCGATCCTCCGTGCTTTCACCGGCGCGGCGACCGGTTTCCGACCGATGTTCACGGTCGACCGACGTTCGGGCGACGGCACGGGCGACGGATCGAGCTGCTCGGTTCTCGATCGAAGCTCGTCTTCGGTCGGGTCGAAGCTCGGGGAGGTCGATCGGGTCGGGTGGAGGAGCACATGAAGCGGAACTTTGCCCACAACGAGTTGCCCAGCCACGTACAGGCGCTTGAACTTCGATGCGAGAGAGGAGAGAGGAGGTGAGTGAGAGGAGAGGAGAGAGGGGAGAGAGGTTTCTGTCCACCAATCGAGGTTTGACGGTTTGATGCCAATGAGTCAAGATCAGTTCCAGATGGTTTATCTCATTGCTGGATGGACGATGGACATGACATGTTCCTTGTATCATTTGCGTTTTGAAAGAGGACCCAGCTGGGTTTAAGGTTAAAGTGATCCACCAAGTGCGCAGGCCTCACCTCTTCACCATTTGAGGGCGCAGGACGTGCAGGCTTTGCCTTCGCCTGCCAGACCCCGCAAGGTCCCGCAAGGTCCCCGCGAGACCCGGTTGCGCTGCGCCCTGGGGAACGGGGCAGGTCAATCCGGTCAATTCGGGCAGCTGGACGTTACAGGACGTTTTGCCTGGGGTGTTGCCCCCCCTGACCCCAGGGGAGCCTAGCATGCCGCGAGGGAAACCGTGAAGGCGGACTCTCTGGGGGCACGAAAAGGGGGGTATGGAGCCAAAAAGGCCCAGGTTCTGCATGCATAACATCTAAGAATATTCTATCAGAAGATATCAGAAGGACACATGGTGACATGGGGTGAAGAGAAAGAAGAACCTTCACACTCTGAGGGCTAGTGTGCTTCTACACGCGCTGCGTGTGGCACGGGAGGCCGTCAATTCGGATGCCAACGCGCACATGTGCCCAGGGGCGTTTCCAAGTTTGGAACATCGAGTGCATTTCTGTTCGCCTGGGACACGACGAGTTTCTCACATGTCCCCGATAAGGCAATTGATGTAGACTCTTGATGAATAACCCCCCCCATGTTTATTTTGGTGGCGAGGCCATGAGCACTCGCAGCTTCAAGCAAAGACAAGCAGATTTGCACAATTGATACATGTCTTCAGGGCTATGTTGAAGCACACTCGACCCCGTCCGCAACGTGTCCAGCCGTTTCCCGGCTTTTTGGACCTCCAAGTGTTGCATAAGTCATAAGTGTTGCTTATGTGTTCGTTTCGCTTCGCTTCCAAAGGGCCTCTTTGTGGGTGCTGACGTCTTTATGACACCAAGAGCGCTTCATGTTGGTTCAGTTATTGGACGACGGAGCTGGTCGAAGGGTTTCCTCGTGGGATATGGTGCTCCCGGTGCAATCATTAGATGCAACACCTTTCCTGTTCATCTCACTGCTGGACTCCAGAGAGGGTCCAGTAGCGGATGTCGTGACGGATGTCGTGCGCGATGGTTGAAGAACCCCCCCCCATAAATTCTTGGTTTACTGATCAAGAGTCTACATTAAGGAGTTGCACCGGAAAAGAAACGAAAGATTGGAACCTGGCTCCTGCGTTTCGAGGAGCCAGAGGAGTTTGGACAACTGGACTGCAAGAGCCAGACCGGTCCCTTTCGTCAAGCTGATTTCGCCCAAACGCCACGTGTTTGAGGTACAGCAAGCGCGCCAAGGGCACGGGTGGGCTAGGGCTCAGTGCGTGGGGGATCTTAATTCAGGGTGCAGCTTTGATATCGATACTGACACGCCACAGCCGGTGGATCGTGGGCAATTCGACACTTCCGAGGTTTCCGAAGGGGTCACACCAAGTTCGTTTACGCATCTTGGTGGGCCGCCCTTCCTGCATATCATTGTTTTCGGGGAATAAAAGGGACGATCTACGGGCAGAGCAGCAGACCATAGCAGACCTCCTTGTTTTTTTTTGCGTGGGGAGCCGGGAGAGAGTTCGGGAGCTGAGAGAAACTGAGAGTGAGGGAGGAAAATCCAGGGGAAACGTCTTGGGATTCAAAGACGAGGGCTAAGTGCACTCCATCCGATTCTGGGCCCGGTTTCCAACCATTCAGGTTGGGTGAAACGGGCGGAATTCGGGTCATGCGGGTGAGGAGGTGGAGAAGGTCCAACGGTTGGGCCCAGATTCTTAGGGCTGTATAAATTCCTAGACGATCTCTCTCTCTCTCTATATATACAAGTAAGTGATTGGTCTTCATGTCTTTTGAAGTCAAAGCGGTTGGAGACTTTGGATATCCGAAAATTCGAGAGAAGGAGAAGCAAATCGGACAAACACCTGGGGGTAGGGCTTCTAGGCCTTCTGTGTGGTTGGACTGTCGATGGGGGAAAAAAACAAGAGGCTTTTGGTGGGTCTATCAACGCTAAACAGCTGCGCTAAGCAGCTGCGCCACCGTAGGGTTTTCTAACCCTCCAAGACCTTCAAGTGTACCCCTTTGATCTGCCGATGTGCGAGGAGCGAGGCTGCCCTTTGGTGTTCCTTTGTAATCTCTTCGAACCTCTCAGAGTTCCCCGATGCCCAGTTCCGCTTTCTCTTTCGACCACCAACCACCTCGTGTCCACGCACGTGTCAACGAAGCACGTCTGCTCTAACCGCAAAGAGAACACGCTTCTTTCATCCCGACCGTTCCGGCGGCGGATGCGCCGAGGTACGACGTGATCGACCTGGATCCCTATGGCACGGTGGCGCCCTTCATCGACTCTGCGGTGCAGGCGAGGAGGGATCCCCGTTGACACACACTTATTGACATGCGTCCTGAACTGAACAAGATGAGAAGCTTCCAATCCAAAAGGATCCCTATGATTCCAAGGGGTACACACACACACACTTAAGATGAGTGCTCTCTTCGGAGCTGTGCTTCAGTGACCCCTTTACGGGCCCTGCGTTGGCCGAATGCATTAACACTTTACTGGGAAGAGCTATTGTGAGGGGCGTTCGAATGGTGTCAAAACCGTCGACCTCGTCCACGACCTCCCATGGAGCATGCAACACCGTGCGACAGCGTCAAATGATGAGAAACCATTGACCTGGCTGACCTGAAACAGCCTGAAAATGAGTGTAACAGCTTGAATGACAGCATGGTCAAAATCAGCACCAGATCAAATGGGCGTCTTCGTTGGTAGCGGCCCCAAGTGATCTGCCGCTACGCCCTGCTGCTTATAACAACTCAGCCGCTTGTTTTAGCGGTTCACACACACACACACACCGCGAAGGTAGACGATGGTAGACGACTCAGTGACAGGAAGGGGTGAAAGTGAACGGGAAAAAGGTAGACTATGATCCCGGCACCGACACCTGAAGAGGTTTGACCATCCATGTCTGTTTCTTGGATTCATCCAGAGTCTGGATTAGACGCCGCACACGCAACACGCAAAACAACAGTTGCACCACGGCCCACAAGGGAATTCATTGCCATTGCACGCCATTGCTGGTCCCTTCCTGGTTCCTGGTAGGGCTTTTGAACCCTGCCACTCAAGGGGTCGATTTGGCCGCGGGGTCAATGCGAAGCTTCTGCTGTGCGGGGAAGGTGGACTGGGCCAGCGATGATACTCGTGGAACTGGGTCATTTGGGTCCTGGGTGGATTCGCATGACGCAGTGGATCGGGTCTACCAAGTGGACCGCATCAAAAGGAACTTCCGTTGTGATGTGTGTATACATGTGTATATATTATATATATATATATAAAGAACTACAACTGTGGTCTTTCCAACTGCGCCGCACGGACGATCTGATCAGCTTGGACAGATCTGTCTGGCTGGTTTTCTTAGGTCCAACACCTGCCCTGGGCACCGTGCCGATGATCTTCCCCTTCAGAGAGATGGGTTTGCAAGGGGACCTCCCAACCAATGGATTTACCGTTTCCCCACGGGTTTTTGAGGGGCCTCCATATTCTTACACAAACACACCCATATCAAACCCCAAAAGGCTCAGAGTCGGGTCGTCTTCGTTTTGTCCCCGTTTCCCGCGGATGGGCCCGTTCTCCCCCCCGTTTCCCGCCTTCTCTGGCTCTGGCACCGAAGGAAACAAACCACTCGTAGCAGTTGGCCTTCTCTCCGGCCTTTCCGGGCTCGGAGATCGTCGTTCTGGCCGGTGCCCGGTGGATCGATCGAGCGGACCTGGCTCCGGCGGACCTGGCGAATGCGTTGGATCTGAAGGCGGTGGCAGATGGTGGTCTCTTGTGTATCACCTCCACGGACATGCCGGTGCCGGTCCAAGGGGGCGCCCATCGGGACGAAGCTCCGAAAGCGTGAAGCCACGGGGTGCTTGCGGGTTCGGTTTTGGGAGTCCGGAAGGTGAGGGGAGGTTGGACCATTGGCTACCCCAAGACTCCTTGCCCTCTATTTTGATGGGGTGCAGATGGTGTGGACCCGACCTTCCCACCCCACCGAAAACGCCGGGGTGTTCTTTGTCTTTCACCCCCCTTCACTTCACTACTGTAAAAACACTGTGTGTTGGCTAGATTTGTCGGCCCACATTCTTAGCCCAAACGATCCATGGTGGCGCACATATCGCCTACATGACTGGTGTTTTTTTGGTGGTGAATGTATAGGTCATATGTACTTACCTTAGAAACCATGGTTTCGGTTCACCTGGTTTGGTCGGTGCAACATCCTTGTCGTTGCTTCCGGTCTTCAGCCTTCGTGGGCCGCGAAAACGCCTTTTCGATCCGTTTCGATCCGGTGACGGACCCTCGGTCGGTCGCCGTCCGAGGAAAAGAGTCGGATGACCCGGGTGCGAACCGGGGGGTCATGTTAGTTATAAGTGATCGCCTGATTTGGCTGGTCAAACCTCTTGAGGGCCAGTGGAGGGTGAAGGAACGCCTCAAGATCCTATCACCGAAATGCGAGCAGAAGCTCTCCAAGGTGCTTGGTGGGAACCACCCCGAGACCTGCTTCGCCAGGCGCGTTGTTGGGCGGCGAAACCTTTCAGGGAGAGCTGTACAGGAACAGCCTCGTTCAGCGTCGTCAAACGGCAGCTTTGCAGAAGCTCTTGCCATGATCAATTCGAACAATTAAAGAAATACCTGGGCCCCCGTTTCGGGGTGTCTAGAAATTACTAATGATAGCCCCTCAAAAGTTAAGGGATGCCCATCAACCACCACCCCGAAACGGGGGCCCAAGGTACACCCTTTGACTTGCGTAGAACCTGAAAACACGAACACATCCATGCCATTGCACCCGGAAGATGGCAGCTGATCTTGGCGGACGTTTTCCAGGTACGGTGGATCTGCGCTCAAGTGTGGGTATGCCTGGACCTCGGCAAGTTCTAGTGGGACAGGCACGACAAAAAGAGAACACTCTCTGGAAAGGGGGATACAGCTGAACCAGGGGTGGCCCGTATGACGTTTAGCCCATATTGCGTTGCTGCAATAGACTGCAGACATGATCTTGGAACAGGTGCCATCTATGACTGTGGGTTATGGCACCATGACTGCCGGAACCCATCGTCAGTTGACCACGTCTGTCGATTCTTTTCATGTTCTGCAACTCCAAGTGCCCCGGTTAGGGTCAGAAAGTCAACAAGTGAACACAAACTGTTCGGTCCTTTCGCGGATAGACACGCCGTATGGAACGGACACAGTAGACCAGCTGTACAGCTGTACAGCTGTGGTAAGCCCTTCGAACTAACATGATTGCTCTCTTTTTGGGTCCGCAGCTGCGGCGTCCAGCCCAAGCCCCCGGGACCGGGGGTCCACATGGTCCGCCGCCTGGTCCGCCCGATTCTTCTGGCGGTGTCGGCATGAGCGGGTCCGCAGGGCGCGAATTCTGGATCAAACAGGACACTGGAATGAACACAGCAGGCTCACCCCAAGGAACCGGTGGACAAGGGATATCGCCCTTTTTGGAATCTGATGCGGGGTCGTTTGTGAACCCACATCTGATCCGCACCCACTGATGATCCTTGGAACGTGTGGGTTCCGCACATCTCTTCACCCTGACCAATTCTCAGCACAGCCAGCCTTGCGAACCTCATGCGCGGCCGAGGTCCATGAAATGGCTCTACGCTTGGAGCGGGGACCTGGTGCGAGAATCGACCTGTTGCGCAGATGGCGGTGATCGTGCTACAAACACATGGGCGCTGTTTTCTTTTTAAATACGGGGACCTCCCAACCAATGGGTAGACTAGTAGGCTATTTTCATCTATTTTCCATTACTTTCCTTCTTCCAGAAGGTCCTTGCCTGGGAGGTCTCCCTATTTTCAATGTCAGACCGGCAGTTCCATTGCAGTTAGGTGCTGTCTATGGAGGGGGGGCCACAGGGTGGGTGCCCCCGTCACATCCCCTCACTCGGGGTCTTCAAGACCACCCCCTATCGAGCACCATGGAAGGGGTTGCTTACGGCTGAACATCCATTCTTCCACCATCGTTTCCCGATGCGAAAGCCACCCCCCCGGAGGCCTTCAGCGCCATTCGTTTGCACAGAAGGGCGGTGCCGGTGCGCATGTGCCGAAGCCGCCGAGGTGCTCCATGCCTTTGCCACCGCGGCTGCTCGCTGCGGCCGAGAGGTCGTTGCCGGTTCTCTTCCGGTTCTGACGATGAAGCAGGGTGACCGGAGTTGTGTTGAGAGGCGTTTCTGGCGGTCATGTATTGATGGAATGGATGTAAGTGATATCAAAAGATTGAATCTGAAACCAGACTTGGATGGTCTGACCTCGGCCTGGCGGAATTGACATCTCCAGAGTCTGGGGATGGACTTAGTGTTTTTCTTCCAGGACCTTCTCAGTGACCTCTTCAGGATCGGTAAGTGACCTTTTCAAGGCCTAAGTGACCTCATTCTGGGATCTCAAAAGGTCACTGGGAAGGTCCTGGTTTTGGATTTTCGGAGAGAAGGTTTTCCCGAGCTTTCAAATTCTTGGTGCGTTCTCAAAAGGTGAGAAGCCTCCTTCGTTCTTGATCTTAGCCAACTGCGTGATATGATGCGATCGGGAGGCCTAGGGTGCGGTTTCTTCGCCCCTCACAGAGTTTCGCCGGTTTCGCCACTATTGGATGAGGGCTGCATCCGAGTCGGTCTTTCCTTTTTCCCCCACTTGCTGCTGAAGCGCAGCCCGATCTCCACGGAGAAAATCACCACCCGTCTGACGCCCGGAGCACCCGGTGGCGGCGTAGGTCGAATCGGTCCGTCTTCGGATCGGTCGAAAGTGGAAAGTGGTCGAACGGATCACCTTCACTGGTCCATTCTTCAGGGCCCTCCAGGTGTTGGAAGCGAGAGGAAGCTCGGCACATGTGAAGTTGCTGGAGTCTGCCCCTTTGGGCTTGTGAGACACCAGTTCCCTAGCCCCAAAAACGACTCAAACATGTGGCAGCTTGAGGGTCCATGAGCTGGGTGTGATATCCTTTGATTGACCAACCAAGCCCTGACCAGCTTCCACTGCGGAGTCTCATTTGTCTCATGGCCCCTGCACACGCACGCGCTGTGTGTTCGTGCCACGCGGTTTCCAGGTGCGGCCTTTATTGTCTGTGTCCATCGATTTCTATGCCTCTTGTCTGCTCAGCTGGCGGATCGATCTCCGTGACAAAAAGAGTGGCCACTCTGGATGCCTGAGGCTTAGATCTAGAGGATGCAGCAAAAGTCATTCATCCAGGCAGATGAACAGGTTGGAATCTTGCAACGAACCACAGTCCATAGCTGGGTCCAGAAGGCCTTCCCCCCGGAAATTTCCCGGAAACCGAGGTGTTTTGCAAATCAACCTCAACCACCTACTGGCCCCAGCTGGCCCAGCCTTCAAATCTCAGACCACTCCAGTCAGCGAACGCTTCGCGAGACGGTGACGCCTCGAGACGAGCGGAGACGAGCGGACGAGCAAACAGTCGGACGTTGGTTCGGGGTGTCCAGGAAGATCTATTCGGGATTGTTCGTTGGTTTTTTTTTTCTGTGGCAGGCTTTCTTAGGTGATGGAAGGTGGTATTGGCACCTGGCCATGTGCTTTCTGAAGTTATTGTTGGGTGGATGCCCTCATCCATTCAGAGAGAAGCATTCCACCCTGTGCCATTTCGATAGCTGGAAGAACCCTAAACCCTAAACCATCTAAACGGACCAGTCCCAAGTATCCACCGGTTCGTGATCCCGTCCCTCCAAACCGACCGGGCGCCCGCGTGCGGTTCGGCGTTCGTTCGGACCCGTCGTCCCAGGTGAGGCTCTTCGTGCGAGTCTTCGACTCTCCGGCCCGCGTGAAGTGGGGATGCCCCAGCAGATCCGAGGGTCGGGATGGGAGACACCGGGACAGAGGACATATGGACCGGTCTGGATCTGGATTGTGGCGACATGAGCAGGCATGTGCGGCATGTAATTAGAAGGTGGAAAGCTCGATGAAAAGGAGCAGCTGGACAATGCCTGGAGGTGAGGCTCTCAAAAAGTAGTATAGAATTAGAATCAATTAGTAGGAGTTAATAGGAGCTTGTCAAAGCAACATGCCGCTGCAATCCTAGTCCTGAGGCTCCCAAAAAAGCCCGCAAGCCACCAAGAACCCAATGTCCAGGATAAGAACTTGCAATACCTGCAGGAAACCTCCTTGTCACGAGTGATTACTTTAAAAGCATCACTGTCTCTCAGTGTTGTAAAGCTGTTACAAAGAGGACAGGGATCTGAAAAATCATGGAAGTGGATGGCTGGTCTTCGGAGAAAAAGTCGTCCGAAATCGGGGCCATGCCTTCCACACATCCACGCAAGCTGGTCTCATTCCAGGGAGTGTGGATGTGACGCCCCGAGAGAAGAGCACCCGTTTCGGGAACCATCGCACGGACCATGCAGAACAGACGTGGAACGGATCTTTGTTCCATGGAACTCCCTACCAGGAGTCACATGTTGGGGTGGTGTTCCTAAGTGAGTGGACAATGGGCACCCCCATTCAGCATCCCTTTGTGACTCCTGGTAGAGGATTTTTCGGATCTTTGCTCTTCCCAGCGCCCATGTCCGCCCCCCCTTTGTTCCGACTGCGCACGTTGGTCCGGCAGGCGTCACGCGAGCAAGACCGGCTTGGTGCACCAGCGGCATGGCGGCAATGTGTTTGTGTTTTTTTTCCTCGATCGCCGGCAGAAGGAGCAAGAAATCAGCGGCCGACGTCAGGGCGACATCGGGCAATCTCGAAGTGGTTGATTTCGTTGACGACATTATTTATGCATATTATTTTTGCTTTTTTTTTGCATCTCTTTTGCGTCGTTCTGTGTGTTCTTCTCCTATTTTCGATATGCAGGACCCCTGAGGTGGGTTCATGATGGTTGCTTGTAGTTCTGGCTGGGAAACAATAACATCTTGGTGAATACAACACCCCCAGACATGGGTTGAACAACCTCTTCAATATGTGGGGTTGATCTATTTTCCAGCCTCCAACGTTCTTCGCCAGGTCCGTCCTCCCCCCCCCCGCCCGCAAAGCTTCTCCAGGTGCGTCCAGTGCGAGAGCTTCTTCGTTCAAAAGTTCGGCGAGATTGAGGGCAGCAAGGACGACCCCCTCGGTGCGGCGTGCACGGCGCGCATCGATGTCGGCCGAGCGTGCATCACCTGGAGATTCATTTCATTTGCTCATGTTTGCTCTAGTAAACGCTCCTGCCGGATTTTCAGTGCACTGCCAGCATGGAAGCTTGACGTCAGTTCTGCAGGTGAGTGAACTAACTGGTGCAATTCAGCTTGCGTTGCATTATATTGTCACATCAGAAGGTGCAGGGGAAGATGTTGTTCTCCCCTGTATGATGATGCCTTTAGCAGCAGGTGAGACCTAGGCCATCAGATACGGTTGGAGACATGTTCGTTGTGGGTGTTCCCCATGTTATTCGTTGGGAGCCCAAATCACCTCAGGCTTTGGGGAGCTTCAGGCTTTGGATGGTCACGTGACCGTCCAACCGGTCCAACCACCTCTCGTCTCGATCGACTGCGCAGCACGTCGTGCCGTTGGAGAAGCATTGGGCGCTCGCTCCTGTCCCGGTCGTTCGGTTCGTCCGGCGAACCGTCCACTTTCCGTCCGCCATCTTTTCGTCTTGGTGCGGATGTTTAGACTGGTCTTCCAAGAAAGAGTCTTGCCTGCGCCCAAGACAACTTACCATACGTGGTGTTTGACTACGGTGATGGTTAGATGCATATCCTTGTGATGTTTGATCGGGCGAGAAGGTTCTGGGTCCTGGAAATCTATCAGATCCCTCTCAAACAAAGTGTTAGCGGGACTCTCATGAAACAGATCTTCATCAACTGGGCCCCTGTCAAAAAGACTCGATATTTGCGGAGCAAATCTCGTTTCTCACACGCAACAAGAACGCAAATTTGGGCCAATTCACGAAAGCTAGCCTTAGCTAGCTGGAGTTGCTCTTGCTTTAGCAAGTTATTAAGTGACGGGGTGGACGCACCTCAGAAACCTCAAATAATTGATTAAATCAATCTTATGGACCCCCCCTCCCCCGCGGGTTCGACTCCCCCCTGCGCGCGGTGAGCGGGACCACCAAGCAGCTGCAGCACACCAAGCATCTGCAGTCTACCACCAAGCAGCTGCAGCAAACCACAAAGGAGCAGCAGCAGCAGAAGCAGCCAGCAGCAGACCACCCAGCGCCAGCAGCAGCAGCAGCAGCAGCAGACGACCCGGCGCCAGCAGAGCACCCAGCGCAGCAGCGCCCATCCCTGACGACCAGACTCTCGTTCACCCCCTAGCTAGCTTTCGTTCACCCCCTCTGGCCTCAAGTCACATCCAAGCTCACATTTCGCATGATCTGCAAAAGAAATCGCCAACACACACACACAATCACGTGCCAAAGTACCCAAGCCACCCAGTGCCGAGGAGAGTGCCCCCATAAACATTTGATGCAAATAAAAGTGTCACAAGATTTCATAGTGATCTTGCTCTGATATTTGCGTTTCCATTTTAGTGGTATCCTCCAAACGGGGTATGAGTATAGATCACTTGTCCACTACTGGAAGTCCAGATTTGAAGTCCTTGATCTCTGAGAAGCGCCCTTTGGGCACTTGTTGAACACTAGGGTCTATCCCACTACCAGTAAACAGTCGGAAAGCAGTAAAAGAGGATCACTATTCTTGAGATGTCGGCATGCACTGTTGATGGTCATGTAGAATTTATTGGAATAATATATATATATATCTACTGTATATATATATATATGTATACCAGGACCCTCCGACAGGTCACCAATTGAGACCTGTTAGGGCCGTTAGGGTCCAACAACCCTCAACTAACAGCCTGGCCAGGAGGGTGCTGGTATATATATATATATTATATTCTTTTTTCACATTGACTCAGAGATGATTGAACCCACTGTAGTCGTCCTTGGCATCCTTAGTTGAACTCAACCACCACGTGTCAGCTGACTCGGAGACTCCTGAGTTGGAATTTCCTAGGCACCTCGGGTGGTTTCCCCACGATCCGTGTCAGGCGGAGGGAGTGATGGCAGACCCAGATGGAACCGGTCGAAGCATTCGGAGCCAAGAGCGTTTTGACGTCGAACGCAGTTGGGTTTGTGCTGCGTTCGTTGCCCCCGCGCCATGATCGAATGAAGGGGGCCCATCTCTCCAATCCCAGCCCCATCTTTCCTTTCTTCCTCCGTCTCAGGGTTCCGCACCCTTCGGATGAACGGTTCCACGTCCACGTCGGACGCCGGTGAAGACACCGGTTCCGCACGCCGCCTGCGGCCGGGTCGGTCCTCAGCTCAGAACGAAGGAGGCGAAGTTCAAGGTGGCGCGCGTCACCGTGCCGGGCAGCGAATGCCCCGAGCCGCACGGCAGCGACGGAGCCGTTTGGGTCTGGGGTGGCGAGGCAGCGGTGAAGCAGCGCAACGCGAAATCCGCGAGTGGCGTGTGGAGTGTGGCTGTGGTTTGTGTGTGGCGCGCGTGGAGAGCAAAACGGCTGGGCGGTGAAGAGATGTTCTTTCGTGGTGGACATTGGTGTTCCAAGTCGACATCGACCGGGGTGAAATCGAAGTTCTGAAACCACCGGATTTGGACCACCAGGTAGACTCGCTTTCGATGTGTCCGGAGCTTGTCAGCAAGGCATGAACCCCAGAACTTCTATCAACTTCTGACCATGACTTGGGGGTACCTTTCAGGTAAAGCGAGCGTGAGAATTGTAGTCTTGACCCTGACTTGGGGGGGGTCGGCCTCGAACAGACCACCCGTGCATTTGCTCGCTAGTGGGCCATGGACGAGCGTTTGCATGCGCCTTTCAAAGCGTTTGCATGCCGTTTTGCCTTCCTTTTCCTCCAACTTACTTTGGCTCAGAAGCAATGAAGTCTACCCACCACATTGTGCCTTGTGAACCTGAAGGATGTAGTCTACCTCTCCATGTCAGACCTGCCCTTCGCACTTGCTCTCCTGGATTCCCGGAGAGCGCAGCGTGCTCGATCATCTTAGGTGTAAAGGCCGCATGAAGGTTGGAGGCGCGACGTGTGCCGTGCGCGGTGCGACCGAAGCCCAACCCGTTGCGGAAACGCGGGCGAGGCGCATCAGTCTTAAGCCGTTTCGCGCGGTCCCATCCGGGAGGTTTCACACGAAGTCAAAATGATTGAACCATCACCATGGATGGGATATATATATATATGTATATATTTATGTAACTATAGTTATACATAATAATATATACTGTATATATATACACACATATATTCGCTCATTTAAGGTAGGCAGGGTCGGTGATGAGGAATTATTTGATTTGATCAGATATAATATATAGTATATATATACACATTCGATATATATATATATATACATAAATATATACATCCAGGATGTCCAGGTGCAGGTGGAGGAAGTTATCGCGGCACCTCCAAACATACGCAGCGATTAGAGAGTCAATGAGAGTCAGACAGGATGATTAGCAGAGGTAGGAGCAGGGAAGAGGTAGGAATTCGTTTTTGTGTTTTAATCAACTTCATTTTGCATGACAGTCAGTATATGCCAGTGTGTAAAAGATAGGTTCCATTCAGATAAACTTACCTGATAAACCTTGTTAGTCAAGAACTTGTTAAAAAACAGTCATTTTGTGCTTGGTGTGCTTGGTGGCCTTGTTTGACCTGATCTCTGCAGCCCTGGCTCAAGATGGCACTGGTGCCCCTGAGAGACTGGGAGAGTGTGGGTGCACCGCAGATTGGGTGGTGGCAGTGGTAGCGCACCATGACTTGGCCAGTGGTTGCCTGTGTGACTACTGTCCTTGGAGCGGTGATCTGGTTCCACTTGCTGTCCACAGAATTACTGGCAGAGACTACTGGTGGTACTACTTCACAGACAGCTGTGGATGGACCTGAATGGCAGGAGGCTGGAGCAGCAGGAAGAGATCCACCATAGAGATATACTTAGTGCTGCAGTTGCAGGCGCCAGAAGGTCTCCTTATCCCTGTCTGAGTTGAAGGGCTTCCAATTGGGCATTATGATTTGCAGGGTCAGAGAACCCTTAAAGTGGTGGCAGTTGAGTATCCAAATGGACTAATCATAAACTAGGCACCTGTACTGCTTTGATAGCGTCTTGAGATGTGACACCTCAAATTTTATTAAGGCCGGAAAAAGAACTTCAACATAATGTTGTTGAATGTTGGTGCTGGTCCCAGTGTACAAAACAAAACCAATTCCCAATCAGCATGAAGAAGGTTGAGGTGGCTTGGGTATCAAGTCACTAAGGGAGATGTGACACTTGGGGGTAGTGCAACAATCCAATTGTATCAAGGTGTTGCTTGCTGGCTTTTCTCCATTGCTGCTTACAATAATGTTCCATGTTCTGGGTCCATGCAAGGTGCTTCAAAACTTGTAAGATGTTCTTGCATCCTCTCCAGATATGACAGTCTGCCGTTGTTCTGCGCTTGGTCTGTCCTTGGTCTGCGCTTGGTTTAGCTGGTTTGCGCCAGTGTGCCTTTTATGCACAGTTTTGGTTGTTATACTTGGCTGTTGTTCTGTGCTTTCTGCAGTTTAAATGCTCTGAGCGTATCGTTGGTGCTTTGACTGCTTGTGGGCCAGACCCACCTCAAATTGATGAGGAATAGAGAAAAATATGACCAGACAAAAAGCCTCAAAGCACCATTGGTCTGCGCTTGGTCTGCGCAACTGTATCTGTACACATGGTCATTGGCTTGCGCTTGGTCTGCGCCACAGTACGTTGTGTACACTGCCATTGGTCTGCGCTTGGTTTGCGCAAGTGTACCTTTTATGCACAGTCTTGGTTGTTTTACTTGGCTGTTGTTCTGTGTTTTCTCCAGTTTATTGCCCAGGAGTGCCCTTAGCGTTTCGTTTGTGTATTCACTGCGTGTAGACTACCCGCCTTAAAATGATGAGGAATACAGTACTTAGAATGATGCGGAGTACACTAAAAAGGGGGCCACCCAGAAAGCATCAAAGAACCATTGGTCTGCGCTTGGTCTGCACTTTCTTTGCGCTTGGTTTGCGCCACTACATCTTGTATACATGCTTTTTGGTCTGCGCTTGGTCTGTGCCACTGCCTGCATCTTGTACACGTGGTGTTTGCCCTTGTTTGTCTTTGACAACTTGTCAAATTTTGATTTGAACTTGTAACAGAATGAAAAGCCAAATGGGCCCAAATGAAGAGGTCGCCTGTCAATTGCTTGATCTTGCAGTTCAACCTGGCGGGAACAAAGCTACTACGCAGTAACCTATTGCAGTTCAAGACAGGGCCTTTACCCACAAGAACAGGGATCGCCAACGCCCTGCGATCAATCGGAACGTCCCGGCTGAGATGTGGACCATGTTCTGGACCCTTGCCTGGCCATAGTGGAGACACCCAGCGAGCATAACAACATTGGCTCACTCAGTTGCCGCCCGTGCGGCGTGCACTCCTTGGTCTGCATGAAACTGCATCATTCGTTGCCGCGCGCCCAGCGTGCGGGCAAGAAAAATCCCCTTCGGCGCCTTGTACAATCACGACGTTGACAACGGCGAGCAAGGCACGCCAAAGCCAGAGATGCCCGATACTGCAAGCTGTCGAGCTGACTGGACAGCGACGCTCATTGAAGAGTACTGGAGTTACACACGTGTCGCTGGTGGGCACTGGAGGATATCCTACGATCCAGTGGTCATGCCCCCCCAAAGTGGCATTATACTCTGGCGTGGATCAGTCGAGTTATCTCAGAGTAGCACCCTTGGACTCGAACAGCGAGATGGAGCTCCTCGAGTTGCAGTTGCAGATTACTACTTCTTCGTTGACTTCCTGGAGACGCAGATATTTGAGCGGCTGTGCGCATTCATAGATGGACTAGTAGTTTAACCTTGGCCTTGACGGACCAGTTCATGCTTCCTGTATTTTTTAGTGCCCCTTAAGCGAATAAGCTAACCGCATTCAAGGTTGTTACATCAAAAGGTTCTTTGCAAAGAGTCCCCAAACAAACAAAGCAGATGTATATTTCCTTTTGTTTCTAAAGCGTTTTTGCACTAGAGAAATTACCGACTATCCTCCCAATGGATCCTTGTGGCCAACTTGCTCCCAACTACCTCGGAAACCTACCACTTCCCTGCTCCTACCTCTTCCCCGCTAGTTGGCTTGCCCAAGATGAGGAATTGTTTGAATTGAATCATTTAATATACAATATGTGGTATTTATATACATATACATTCGATAAAATCTACATATTCAATCTCGAATGCTCGATGTGAAGACCAAGATTGGACTTTGGGGTTTCCCGCCAAGATGTCCAGGTGCAGGTGCAGGAGGTTATCGCGGCACCTCCAAACAAACGCAGCGATTAGACCGTCAATGAGAGTCATGTTGTTTGTGGTGAACTCGAGTCTCAAAGTTGACATTGCAGGTTCATGACGGTGTTTTTTCTCTTTGTGTTGCTGAGTTGAACAAGGACAGGTCCTGCATTCTCAAGAGCCGGTGTTTCAGTAGCTCCCCTTTTGTAGAATGGGAGCCTTCTGCCATCCAATGGATGTCATTACTTTTGGTTTCGACGCGTCAGAACACTCGATTTGGACGCGCAAAACATGCCGGGAGTCCCTTCTTGATGGAGAGATGCCACGCACCGACCCATCGCGGGCCCACGAATCCTTGTGTCAGGGTGGGAGGGGTGGAAGGGGTTGAAAGAATTGGTTGGGTCTTGAAGGTCCAGGAAGGGCTGTGAAGACCCAAACGCCTGGGCCTTCAAACCGAATCAGAATTCGACTGCCCATCTTGAAACAATTTCTGCAAAGAACGAGTGAACATCGCTTCTCCGAACGCACCCTCAGGTTCAACTCCCCCCCAAAACACCCCAAAACGGTCGACCGTCTCCATGTCCAACGCCGTGCAGGTCCGTTTCACTGCGGCCCACTCTACGACCGAGACTTCCTGCAGCGCTGCCTGCAGGCGCCGGTGACGGCCGCGCGAGGCGCCTTTTACGGCGCGGTGGGCAGGCTGCCCCCGGCGGTAGTGGTGCAGCTTCTATCTCTGTCCCATTGCTCTGGCATTGGGATATGCCCAAATTCTATCCTTTTTAGGGGTACTCGGCACTCATCCTTGAAGCTGGAGACAGTTGATGCCTTCGTATCAAGCGCCTCACAACACTTGCTCGACGACACCTACCAAAGCTGCCAGTTCGTGGCCGATGAAAACTGGTGGGTTGGACGGTTGGAACATCTTGCGCTTCTGACACATTATTTGAATGGTCTTTAGGTGACCTGAGTCTAGGAATTTCTGTAACAATTTCCTTTACGTCAGTCTGTCAAAATATAGTCTAGCTGGACTTCTAGGGTAAAGATTTGTCGAACTCGGTTGCCCCAGTCTAGGAATTTCCTTGACGGGGCAAAACTCATTGTCGAACTGGACTTCTAGGGTGTATGATGCTGCACTTCTAGGGTGTATACCGCTTCAGCCGATGGCGCAGACGGCACAGGTCTGTTCAGCGGAGAACATGTCCTCGCTGCCGGGCATCGTCAGTGGATGGCCCCAGGACTTGGCGTTTTGACCTAAAAACGATCCCCAAAACTCAAACATGTATGTGTCTTTCTTTCAACACTGGCATATTTGCCGATCAGTTGTGTTGGTTGAAAAGAGATAAATACATGCTCTTGATCCAATCATCAGATATGAATAAAGATATCCAAGTCCAGTCTGACTCAGTGAAACCTGGTCCTTGATAGCTCCTTGGAGTAGTGTTTGTTTTTTGACTGAGAGACTCCAGTAAAATGAGGTTGTTGACCTGTAGGGATATGACTGATATGATTATGACCACCAAAAAACGACACATTGAGCTACACTTTGCGCGCGCGCGTTGCTTGCTTCAGTCGCAGCGTCTGCTCAATTACAGGATGGTCGATAGGAGGTGGGCCTCAAATCCCTGATCCATGTTTGACTCCCTCGTCGTAGGGGTGGATGTCATTTGATGTAGACTCTTGATTAATACACCCCCCATATGAAGAGGATTTTGCACTTCAAATGAGGGTGGTTATTAATCAAGAGTCTAACGTTCCACAGACTCCCTTCACCGGAGGTTGGAAGAAGATCACCGGTCTACTCACCGCCATGAGCGAAGAGAACGACGAGGCCACCAGTGTGTTTGGGCTTTGCCCTGGCCAGGCGGCATGGTGGCCGGGGTTCCAATGGAAACGGTAGTTCTGGTCAAAAAGGGCCTCACACAGAAATATGGTTCGTTTTGCACGTGTGGTTGAGATCTTTTTCGAGAAGTGGGTGATGTCAATGCGTGAACACTTTGTAGCGATTGCCCTAGCCCTGGCCCAACATGTCTGTTCGGGAACTCCTGCATTTGAGATGAAGACTTTCCCTTCTTGACATATGTTTGGGCTACCAGGCAGTTCTGGAATCCTTCCATAACAAACATACAGCAATCGGTTTGTGCCTGGTGGGATGGTAGCACCATGCACTCGTTGATGAGTCAACGAGCTCATCTTGGATGAAGGGGACAGAGTCACAACACAAAGTGTGACCATTTGGCGATCTTCGTCGGACATGACCAGCGTGTTCATCTGGGAACGGACTTTTGGGAACTATAGCGCAACTTGCGGACAGTCCATGCCACAGCCCGGTTCAGTAGGTTCACTTAGGCCGAATCTACTTTTGGGAACTATAAACCCAAGTCTTGGATTCGAAAAAAGTCCCACAGACCAGGGTGGTCGGCTTTTGTGTTTCGCCCCTGGAATTCTCATTGCCTGAAGACGATCCAATTATCATCAAATTTGCAAGGAATCGATCAGCCCAACATGCTGGAACCCATGATGCATTTGCTGTAAGAACCCCCTGACGTTGCAGTACACGGGGTACCTTTTCCGGAACTCTTGTGGAGACCTGATCTTCGACCATTCCAGCAAATCTCCCAACTTGGCACGGCAAGCAGGGCAAGCCTTGAAAACTAGTAGCGTCCTTGCTCCTAGTAGTAAGGCCAGGAGCCCCTAGCGTCCTTGCTCCTAGAGCTTTGATCGGTTTGTTTTGGTTCTGCGAGTTCAACCAGCACCCACTCAGATCAGAGAGCGTGCCTTCGTTCGCAAACCTCTGCTGTTGGGGAGACTAGAGCCCTACAAGTTCCCACGGCTAGTGAGATCAGAGCCATATATGCACATATTTATATGCCAGGGCCCCCGAAGGTTTGCGGCCACGAACAGAGTTTTCGGCGGTTGTGCCAGAGGAAACAGAGAGGGCCCCCGTTTCGGGGTGGCCTAGAAATGATCTCTTAATAGGTCAACGGGCTGTCCGTGAACCGAAACTCACGGAGGGGCACCCCCTGGTATATTGAATTGATCATCCAGCTTCGGACCTGTTCGTGACCTTTCGAAGGTTCCGTTTCGTGACCCAAACAGGCTTGTTTGTCACCGAAGCAACCAGGTGATCAAGTTTGGTCACACTGAAGAACCAGGATGACCTGGTGGCATTTTGGTGGGTTCATTCCAAGAGCAACTCCTAGGTGCCAGGCTGTGGCACCACGGAAGACGCGTTTCGTCTCGTCCGGCCTCTGCCGTCTCCGAAGCCACGACGGTTGTCTGAGAAGATGGGGCGCGGGCGCGGGCGCGGGTGCGGCGTGGTGTCCACGAACAACGAGTCATACAGGGCTTCAGGGCCAAAGCTGGTCAAACACTGTGGTTTCATCATGTGTGAAGAAAGAGTGACACAAGATTGACACGTCACCGACGTCATGCATTTTGTTTTTGGCCAAGATGAACACTCTGTCATCGAGATTGAGCAACCATGAAGAAAGGAAGAGGATTCGTGAAGTGACTACTGTAGTGAGTATACTTAGTGACAGGTTTCGGCGATTGGGAGATCCCATCCATCCCGTGCTCAACTCTCCATGGGAGCCGCCCTGTGCTGTGAGTGCTGCGGGAGCGAGGAAGGTCGCTTCAAACGGGTGCTGGTGAGGTTCCAGCTGCCAGAAGAAGAAGGTGACGAAAGGGTGACGGGGCGGGCGACGAACGTCGCGGGCGCTTTTTGGGGGTTCCAGAAGTATCAGAAGTGGTCTTAAGGGAAAATCGACAGGAAACCACTGGTTTTCACTCCACAAAACGATGGAAGTCCTTTGGTTTTTTCCTTTCACCTATTGATGGATATTCCTTTAAACCAATTGACCAATTGTGGGAGTCTAGGAACTGCTGCTTTTCTGTCGCTTTTCGTGGGCGACATCGGCCGGACTCGGCGGGTCCCTCAACTCGCGGCAACCGGTGGAGGCGAAGTTCTTTTTTAAAAGCAAACCATCCGGCAGTCCGCTCCAGTTGACTGCGGACATGAGGGAGTTTTCTACACACATGTAGGGCAACATGAGGGAGAACTCCCTTGATGTTCAGTCTTGTGACCTCCGGCACCGCCCAGCACCGCACCAGAGGTCACCACCTGGCACTTTGAAGCCAAAAAGACCTGCTTATATTCACAATCTGCTTCTATTTATATCTATTTATTGGTTCTTGGTTTTTGATGTCGCGTGACGCGACTCTAGCGGCTCCAACCTTGGAAGTGGATGTACCTTTGGCGAAAGGAAGACACCGGAGTTCACCGCCAGCCACCGGGATGGACGGTTTGTTGAGAAGCAGTCCGAGATCAGAAAGCAGTTGGTGAGACGAGACGCTTGGACGAAGGGCGCAAAGTCTAGGACATACCGCAAATCATGGTTAGGATGACCCATCATGAGTAGGTATTTGCCAACAATAAGGCCTGTGTGGGCCGGTTCTTGAATAAATCTCTCACACACACACACACTCTCCAACTTAGCCTCAGAGAACTAGCAGACTAACAAACCTCCTTTTCAGGAGCTCATGAAAAAGGGCCCTTCTCTAGCCCGAAGGTATACGACCTGTACATGTCCAGATCGATTTCAGGACAGGCGGTTTTTTCGGTGCACCATCCCCTGAGGGAAGTCTCAGTCTCGGTGCGACGTCTCGGTCGAGTCCATGGAGTCTCCACTGACGCGCGCGAGACGTGGACTGACGGTGCCAGGGGAGATGCAGATCGGCGAGAAGTTGGACGTCTTGAGGTCCTCGATCTCTTCAGGCGCTGGTTCCGTTTTCGTCTTCTCCGGTGGTCCTGACGTGTTCCGTTGCTGAAGCTCCAGGTTGGGGTTGTTTGGCTCTTTGGGAATGCGTAACCAGGAAGTACATGGGTCACCGTTGAAGCCTTTTCTTTGCTATTTGGGGACCTGGGTAAATCGGAGAACTGGACTGGAGAACTTCCAAGACCTGAGCGCCAGACACCTCTCAGCGCAGCGCCCTTGAGGCGCCCGCCGCTCCGTCGCTGCGTCTGGGTAGTGGAGGTGGCTGGCCGGTCGTGGAGGCGGCGGAATTGGGGATCTTTTGAATATTCCTGGGACTCTTGAGATCTCTTACTTCTTCAAAGACAGATACTTATGGCTGAGGATTGCAGGAAGAGATCAACTGCTGTGTTGGATGCTTTTTCTGGATTCTTCGGCCGAGTTCAGGGACGGACATCCTGGTCTTTCCACGGAACCCCGGTATACCGAAGCCTCTCCGTTGGCCTCTACGGGGCGTCCAGCGTCCATCTCGGAAGACTGAGTGTGCGGCCTCCCATCTCCTCATGGAAACACACCCCAAAACACGGAAGAACAAGCACTTCGCGGACCCCTAGGCTGTGGAGGCCAACGCTTCCGAGTACAGAAAAAATAAAGTACCTGGAACTTGAGCTCGACCTCTATTTTGCACCACCAACCACCCCAAATATGGTACCTCTCAAAACAGAGGTCATGTCTGGGTTCCAGGTATACAATCATATGTTCCATATTCGGGTTCCGGTACATGATATCAACCAGCTTGGAGGCTACAGAGCTGTCTGGGTTCCATATTCGGAGGGTTACGAGCCCAGGGACTGTCGCTGGCGACGGCGCCGGTGATGAGCTGGGTTGGACCGTTGGTTTGAGGATTTTGAGAACGGTTTCGAAGGCCGAAGTATCATAGTATCATAGAATCATAGAACACTCATTCATGAAACTACAAGTCTTCTTAGTATCGGATTGGATGACATTTTCCTTGCGCGAGTGGATACTCACCCCAAGTTGAACTTCACACTTCTGGACATGAGACACCCCAAGGGTTTCTGCCCACTTCCGAACCGTCCCGGCCCCGGCCGGGACGGGACAACCTGTTCGGGAGGCTTTTCGGTGGTTTTCCGAGAGAGACCGAGAGAGGCCGAGAGAGGCAGCCTTGGTCGTCTCCCGAAACCGTTCGTCCGGAGACTATTTGTAGACACCTCAAACGGAAGGTCTCGGTTTTGGTCTCTTGAGCCCGAGCTTTGTTCAACCGCAGGACGCGCTCTCCGAGGGAAACAAAGGGCTGGCAGGAGCTGGGTGCGGGAGCAGCAAAGCAACAAGGGTTTCGCCTTAGTGCCGCACATGTCGGTGATTCTCGTAAACCCCCCTTGGACAAAAAGAACGAACCGACGGGGTTGTGCCACCGAAATTGAAACCACTGTAACGTACCAACGCCTGAAACATGGCGTACGCAGGAGCCAAAGTCAACGCAGTTTTGGGCGTCGAACAAGGCATCGTATACGCCACTTCTAACTGCCGCCTGGTGCGGCGGTTGTTGTATGGCTTTGAAAAGATCAACTTGTTTCCTCCCTGGTTTTCTTGTCTTGAGGCCAAACTGGTTTCCTCCCTTTCGGTGGCCTGTCAGGACTCTTTTCTTTGGGTTCTCCTGCACCGGTCGCAGGCGTCACTTGCGTCTGGACCGTCCGTCGCAGAGGTTTCACCTTCACACCAGCGCGATCATGCGGGGGGGCACCGGGCGGGTGTGGTGCAGGTGCATAGGGGCTTTCCTTGTATTTGTTTGCCATCTCTTTCAGGTTGGAGGCCATCGCTATACTAGGGTGGAGGCCATCACTACTAGGGTGGAGGCCATCGCTATTGGGGTGGAGGCCGAACTGGTGAAGTCCTGAGAGTCTCCATTTGGCCCATTTGGGTGTCTTCCGATTGACCGGCGTGTTTTTGGTTGTGCCACGCACCGGGAACTTTCGCTTGTTGGTGGTTGTTTGCGCAGAGTGCGCTCAGTCGGCCTCAGTTCGTGCGGGCGTTCGCTTTTGTTCGCCACGAAGTGAAACATGACCACCCATGGTTTCAACTAACACTGCTCACGATGTGCAAAAATGTGCCACAAACCTCGTCCCTGAGCGCGCGAAGGGCAATCAGATTCTTTTTTCTTTTTTGCGAGGAGCGATTGGTGGCTGGCGCGGAAGCTGCAGATTGGAAAAGAAGCGCAGACCCTGTGAGGATTGGAGCAAAAGTGCCGCAGCGGCGCGAGTTGAGTGCCGCGCCTTGAAGAAGCACTCTATGATGGATGAGGTCATGCTTTTAGCATCTTTTAGCCACCAGATTGCTATGTATAGAACCTGATACAAGAGCTGAACCCCATGGTGACAAGCTCATGAAGAGTGCTGAACCGTCATGAACCTTCATTTAGCAGCCAAGTGAACCACAACCAGCTTTTCATTCCGAGGCTGAGTTAGTTGTTTGCGTCTCTTGCGAAACCACAAGGAACATGTCTAATCCACTATGACACATGGTCCTTTGGCTGCCAACATCTAGCGCTCCGGAGTCTAAGACCCGCTGGACCGGTTGGCCACTGGACGGCTCCATATGGGGTGGAGCAGTATCTCCCACGGCCACTGCCACCAACCAGAGACCAGGCCTTGTACTACAAGCTGCCCAACCTCTGTAAGTCCTTGAAGGTGAATCAGGCCGACGTTCCCGACCTCGGTGCGACGTGAGCAGGTCAGGTGGACCGACAGAGCAGAGCGGAGCGCAGAGCGGAGCGCAGAGCGGAGCGCAGAGCGGAGCGCAGAGCGGAGCGCAGAGCGGAGCGCAGAGCGGAGCGCGGCTGAAGCCGCGCTGAAGGGTTTTCGCGCTGCTTCGAAGAATCAGGAAGCATATATTTGTTTTAATAAAGGAGACCCCGAATCAATGGGTAGACTGGTCCATTTCCCTTCTTCCAGGGGGGTCGGAACGCCGGCCTCCCACAGACTGAGTGACACACCCATATCCCAAGCCCAAGCTGTGTGTTCTGGTTGTGAAGAAGGGAGAAGCAGCGATCCGCGGACTCGGCCACTTCAAAGCATCCATAGCCTGCTAAGCATCCAGGTGGATCCCCCCCCTGCAGGTGCAGTCTGACCTCGTAGAAAACTTGGTCCTTGACCCCATTGAGGAGCGTTTTTGTAAAATCAACTCCAAAAACATCATGTGAAACTGACCTATAGTAACTAGTACTGTATCGATGTGCAACACCAGCAGGCTTGATCCACACTCAAGCATGAACTCTCGATGAACAAAACCCAGACATGGACTGTACAACCTCTTCATACGGAGGGGTTGAAATATCATCAGAAGCGATGGATGATTTCCAAAAGAAACCATTTGGATTGTATAATACCTCTTCTATCTCCTTCGCCTTCCCATCTGCACGACGAATCCCCTGTTGGGATGGGTTTTCACGCCACCGTGGACACTCAGGTCGCATCAGCAGCATTCGGAAACCATGAGACAAAGTCAAAAGAGAAAAGCATCAGAGGGGAAACTCCCAAGTCGACAGTTGTTTTGAACAACCGCCAGCAAGAAGCTCCGCAAAACCAACCAGCTCGTCGACTGCAAATCTGGGTATGGCATCATGATGATGGCACCTTGAGGCAAAGCACGTCCTTCCGTCTTCAACCTGTACTGATCTGTGTACCCTGGAAACACATTCCCTAGACTTCCAAGACCATCAAAAAAAATGGTTGACCTGGTTTTCGTAGTGTAAAATCCTTAATTGATTCGGGATTCAGCCTATTAATGGTTGGCCAGGAAGCCTAGGGCATTGTATTCAGGGATCTTATTCACAAAAACTAAGGCTCGTGATAGAGGGAGAAAGTCAAGTCCCGAAAGGTCGAGTCGCATGAAGAGCTAGACCCATGCTTCCAAAACAAAAAGGCAGACTCAACAAAGGAGGTGCACACATCAGTGTCTATACGCCACTGCAAGCTGTTCGTGAAATCAAAAAACGTAGCCAAATCATCTTGGTTCAATCGCGCAAGCCATCCATGTGGATTGGAGATGCGTGCACTTGACATCCACGCAAAAAGGGCAGAATCTTGGGTCCAATCCCAACGACGTGGAAATCGCGTGCGGAATTGTAAAACCTCTTCTACCCCACTCGCTTCCCCATCCGCGAACGAATCCCCTTGCCACTGTGGACACCGCTGGTCACACCGGCAGCGAACGAAATCTAAGAGAAAAGATCCAAGGACACACGTGTCAAAGCCTCAAATAGGGAATTCCCACGTCGATAGATGCTTGGAGCACCCATCGGCAAGGAGTTCAGCAGACTGAAGAAGTTCGTCAACTGCAAAAAGAGGTATTGCACCAACAATCGCGCCTTGTGGCAAAGCTCTGCCCTCCGTTTTCAAGCGGTACTGATCTGTGAACCCAGGGAACACACCGTGTTCAGGGATTTTGTTAATCAACACCAATGTCCGACGTAGCCAGAAAGTGAGGTCGCGGATTGTTGAGTCGCAAGCACTGCATGACTCCAACACAAAGCCTCGCTTCCAGAAAAGAAAGCGAATTCAACAAATGAAGTGCTCACATCGGGATGCCAATGTACACTGTTCGTAAAATCAAAAAACGTGCCAAGGTCGACCTGATTCAACTTGGCCAGCCAACCCTGAGGGTTGTAAAGGCGGACACTAGAAGACCAGTGACCAGTCAAAACGAGATGGGTCTTGAGACCAATCCCAGCGTGGGAAACGGGCCTGAAAAGACTGCAGGAGGCTTGGCTGCTGTTCACGTACGGTTTCTTCAATCGATTCAGGACAAAAATCCGCACCAATGAGGCGGTTCCATCTGGCAAGAAAATTGTCGCTCAAAAACTCTCTGCTGCAATAATTACCTTGAAAGTTGGGAGATCAACTGGCGAGGCCTGCTGTGCTGTAATTGTAAAACCTCTTCTACCTCTCGCGCTCACGAAGTCAGTGTCGTGAGACTCTGCCACAGGCTTCCACCTGTTGGCAAGCACCCAATCAAAGAAGACCCTTTCAGGGTCAAACCCCAAAACTGGGGCCACACCAAGCTAACAAGACAAGGACGAAACAGGAAAAACCCAAGTGTCGAGATTTGCTTTGACCGCTCTGCGTGATATGATGGCAAGAAACTCAAGGAAATTGTCCGACATGTACGGGGCCGCTCGAATGATAGCACCCGCAGGCATGGTTTTTCAGAGTTATGCAAACGTGAGTCGTTGGCACCAGGAAAAATCGCAAAAGGCACATGCTTCCGGCAAATTTTCAAGCACATTTTGAACCACACAATCAAGGCTTGAAATGTGAAGTGCTCATCTTGGAGGAGCGCTGCACACTTGAAGCCTTGGTGGTAAAAAAGGAAGGCACGTTCTGCATGCGAAATGACACAGTCATCTCCTAGCTGCCATTTCAAGTTCTTCACAAATTGGCCAATCAGAAACCAATCGTTATCTGCAAGCTGCGTATTGGGAACTGGATTGGCAGGCCAAACATGCGTCAAACTCCACTGGAATCGGGAAGGATTCTCCTTCCAGGGAAGACGAGGAAGTTGTTCTTGTGGCAAAAGATTACTCTCATCTTGCCGACTGTCCGGTTCATTGGCATTTGAGGGCATCGACGTACCAATTCAATGGCACAGGGAGGTAACGCCACTCATGGCGTTGGAGCACTGCATCACACAGTGGCTCATACATGGTGTGGAAAATGGGACTAGCTGACTACGCGCTTGTTGCTTGGGAGCATGATCAGCTTGACGATTGTGAATTGTGTCTGCAACCGTTGACCCGTTGGCGGTCGCCATGTCATGATCAATGAGCTCTTCGGGTAAATGCTCAAGCTTGTGTGCTGGGACCCAAGATGCAAGAAGCGGCTGCGAAAAAATTGCTCTGCGGTCAGACCACACCTTGTGAAGACATTTCCATCAGTGGAGGTGAGGCCAAGACTTATCTATATGACCTGTAGCAATCATAAAGTGCACGTGTGTGACAAGTGTCTGGCAGTCGGAACGTACTTCAACGGGACTTGAGACAACACTTACTGCAACAATGAGGGCCCAGAGTTCTGCAGAGTAACTCGTGAGCAGCCAGTGGTGCACTGGTCTCTGCATGCATACGTGATTGGCATCATCGACTACTGCAAAACCTTTTAAGGACAGGATTCTCAGCCCACATGAGGGACCCATCTGTCCAAAGGATGGGGTGAGCTCTGGGGTCAGCATTCTGGAAATGCAGTTGCCAAGGATCGCTGATCTGGAGTCGCTGAGCAAGAAGGGACCAAGGATGCTCAATGCCAAGGAATTCATAGTTACGGCCTAATTCATGCACTGGTGGTGGAGCATGATGATCCTGAATGAACTGGCAATCACGAATAAGGTGGGGAATGGATTCCTTTTCCCCGGCACAGAGGCGGCATTGAGCAGACTCGACCAAGCTGGCTGCGGCAAGGCGATCATTGGTCAAGACACACCCAACAATCTGAGCTTCAAAGAAAGACACGGCTGGGACATCACCCTCAACACACATTTTGGAACGTTTCGTAAGAAGCGTGGACAAGAAGGGGTCCAAGATCCCCGCAGGTGAACGAAATTCTTTGCGTGACTGAAGGGAGGCTTGTGCGTAGCATGCATGCTGAATTGTAAAACCTTTTCAGCCTCTGGGGATTGAAACATCATCAAGAATCTACATCTCCATCTCTCCCATCGCGGCCAGATGCCCTTGCGCCAATTCCGTGGCACCTTGATCTCTCTTGGCACGGCAGCCCGGTTGGGGTCATCGGGGTCATCGGCACGGCGTGAGCTCAACTATACTGGGAGCAAGAAGCTACTGTAGCTCCTGGCCTTACTACTAGTAACAAGGACGCTACTAGTAGCTCCTGGCCTTACTACTAGTAACAAGGACGCTACTAGTAGCTCCTGGCATTGCTACGAGAACAAGAAGCTACTAGT